TTATAGAATTAGTATCCTTCTCAAATTATTTACTAAAATTTGATTAATACCTGTAAAGTGATTTAATTTTAAAATATTTGGGGGTATGATGTTACCCCAAAAGGGGTTTCATAAAACTGATTAACAGAATTCCATTGTATCAAGATCTCAAATGTCACCCATCTAAACTTTGCCAAAGAAAATATGAACTTAATAACTGAAAATGCAATCCAAGCCTTATGGTTCATATAAGAGAGAGTGTGTTGAAATTTCTCAGGCCAACCAAAAGATGATTGGAAAAAAAAATCTTGCAAAACCACGCTTATCACTAGTATAATATATATTATATCCATATAGATATAACATGATTGAAAACTGATTCACATTAAAGGAACTGCACTGGACACAATACACACATTTAAGACAATAATGTCCTTATATATCTTATTTATAAAAGATATTAAAAGCTTCTTTAATTAAATAATGTCAGTTTTATTCTTTTTTTCTCTTTATGATTTAGAGTAGGTTTTTGGGAAATAATTAGTAGTATGAAAATTTTTTTTATTCATTTGTTAAAATTCAATTATTTGTTTTTTTTTTGCAAGAATTTTCACCAGGAAGAAAATAAGAGTGTCCATAATATTTATAAAATATCTAATTAAATAATGCTTTAGTTTCATTGACTTTTTTGTTTTAAGATTCAGAAGAGATTTTTCTGTCACTTGGGGCCTTGTTTGACAAAGAAAAGATTTAAATTCCCCAATGGCTTGTGCATAAACTAATGTAAATAGTAAGCTCTACAAAAATCAATTCCTTGAAATTTCGTAAAATTAAGTGGTGGACAACAGTTTGGGGGGGGCGGGGGTAAATAAAAAGTCAGCAAAATTTTTTATAGAAACGTTTCTAAAATAATTTCACTCATTTGCGAATAAGTGCTGAAAGTTAAAATCTGAAAATTATTTGATTTTACAAGAATTTCCAAAACAATGTGTTTTTTCATTGCAAAAATTTCCCATACTAATTTATGGTCACCCGTTGGCGCAAGAAAAACAATTTTTACCAAAAATTTCGAAGATTCTAAAAATGATTAAAAAAAAAAAAAATCCTTTGGTCTTTCCTTTTAATAAAGATGTTGATAATTAAATTAAGTTTGTGACATTTTTTCTTCAAGTCTGCTCATTTTTTAACGAATCTTTGGAGGTAGCTAATTTTATGAGCTTACAAGATGCAAACAGACATTCAACAATTCAGTAGCGTATGAATTACAAATAGAAAACGGATTGCAACAATTCCTGCATGACAACACGACATGGATGATTAAAAAAAAAAAAAAAAAAAATGAACGTTAAAGAAAAACACGAGTTTTTTCCCTCAATTGAGCGTTTGTCATTAGATTTTGAAAAAAATAAAGGTTTCGAAATAAATATTTGTCTATTTATTTCAATAAGCAAGCAGAACAGTTTTGTTTCCAGCTAAGATAATGTATCAGGGTTGACCAAAGAAGGAGAAGTTGCAAATAAAGAGTACGTAGTATAAAGGGTGTGGGTGAGAAAGAGAAAAGATGAATTGCTATCACCAGCATCACGCAATGGTATTAATATTAGCAGTAATAGCAGCAACAGAGGTATTTCACATGGGTTTTAAAGGCTGCCGGTAAAGTAGAAACGGCACGAACATAATTTTTGACGAATAATATTAACTTGCGTTTAAATGTCTTTTACGGTTTTTAAAGCAAAATCAAAAAGACAAGGCCCGTTTTTTTTTTTTTTTTTTTTTTTAAATTGACATTTTTATTAAAAAAAAAAAAAAAAAAAAAAAAGTAGTTTTTTGTTTTAAGACAACACGTGTCGAGAGCGACGACAGTTAGTATTTAGAGTAGAGACTCATTGATAAATCTTGATAGCAAAATCCAAAGTATATAAGTGGTCCAAACAAGAGACGGCAATTCCGAATTAGAAAGACACCGGTTGTTTTGTTTTTTTTTTAAGTTTTATTTTAAAGAGAGGAGTATTGTATTCTAGAGAAATCGACAATTTCACGATTATTTATTGAAAATGTATAAATCATCCGGTAAATTCTAAGTAATCAAATAAAATATCCAATTGAAGCAAATGCTGATTTTAATTTTGTTTACTTTAATTTGATCAAAATAGTTGTGGGATTTGAAGATTTTTTCTTGGCATAAAATTTAAATAAATAATCACCATCATGGTAAGTATGGCGTAAGATGAGTAGTGGATGTTTAATTTAAATTATGAAATAAGAATGAATGAAATAAAATTAAGAATAAAGTCTTTAAAAGACAAATTTTTTAAAAGGTTTTTTTGTTTAAATATGACAGTGACTACATTTTCGAGAAATTTGTTAAATCCATATCAGTATATTTTACTTTCGATATTAAAAATGGGTAAATTTATAGATCATTTATTCGATAAGAATAATTAGACAATTTTTATTATTAAATTCTTTTATTGCATATTTTGTTTTTTCATTTACAAGTTTGAGTTAAAAACGTATCGTTTCGGTTTACAGTTGATTAAATTTATTGTACAATGCAGCGTCCCCGGTCATCGTGTGAATTTAACAGACAAAAGTAAAAATGAAACCATCAGGTTCTTTTAAAATGACAAAAAAAACAACAAACAAACAAAAAAAAACAATCAAAAACTTTGGATTGTTGAGTAAAGTCTAAAAAACAAATTTAAACAAGTATTATTATCCCACACATATCAAAAGCTATCAATTTTTTTTTTAAACTGCTTTTTCTTTAGTCTGGAATAAGTTGACTACGTAAAGAAACATGGTTGACTAACATGGAGAAATGAAACTTATTTAGAAGTTTTAAAAAGTGTCATCAGCAACAAAATGAAGTAGACATAAATATCGAACCCATGAAATGTGGCAGATGATAAAGTTAAAATAGAGTTTCGTTAGTTGTGGTGTGATGTGGGTTGCTGATAGGGAGGCTAAGTACACGTGATCCCGTCCCGTAACTTTTTTTGGGGGGGGGTGTTAATGATTAGAGCACAAAGAATGAGTGAGAGAAAGAAAAAAAGTTACATTTATTTTACATATCAAACCGAATAAAATTCGTTACATCTGATCAAAATCAAGTCATCCAATAGCTTTCAATTTTATTCGGTCTATAATGAAACGTCATAAAGCATGATGAAGTTAAATTGAAGACATGGGGGTTAAAAATCTTTGCCGAACAACAACACACATGTTGAACGTTTTTAAGTAGACCCCCTGCCTCAACAAAAATGGCAAGCATTAAGGAGTTACGAGTAAAAAGTTTTTTTTCTTTTTTAAATAATTAATAAAAAGAGACGAACGCAGAAGGGAAAAAATCCGAATAGAAAAAATTTTTCGACGATATTAAAAAACAAAAAAACTTTAAGGGATTTAAAAGTTTATTTTTTATTTATTATGCGTGGCTAACAATGTAGACACTACATTAAGATCCATAAAAAAAAGTATTGAAGATATTTAATTTAAAAATAAAAATGCCAACAAAAGAAAATCGATGTATATTTTACTGCGCTTTTACAAATCATATACCAGCTTACACAAAATAATACACGTGTATTTTTCGGATTGACACACAGTTTTCTTTAATTTTTTTTAAAAAATTCACAGTATGTTGCAAAATATCAACTTAAAATAATATTCGTCTACATTAAAAAACTAAAACAAACAAAAAAAAAAATCGATTACGCTTTAAGTCAATCAAATCAAAAATATTTCCTTTATTTTTTCTTCTGATCGTTTGTAAAAAAGAAAAAAAAGAATGCAATTTTTTTTTTGTTTAGGGTCCGTCCAACACTTCATTTATCTTATTTTTTTTAAAAAAAATAAAAAAAAAAGGGGGAAGAAAGGGTAATGGGACGTTATTCTTGACTAGCATACATCGACTAGTGGAGAAATGGTCCCAGTATGAGTAACACAAGCGAGACATTTCTTGGTGTTCAAGAAAAAAGAAAAGTAAAGCTATACTTCATTTATTTATTCATAGAAAAATTTGTTTAAAAAAAAAAAAAAAAAAAAAAGTTATATGTTCATTAGAATACTCCAACCCATTTCTCTTCGAAAATAAAAATTTGAAATTTATCTTTATTTTAAATCCTTTTTTTCTGTTTTTAATAAGTTTAAAATACTTTCAACGACAGCTTTCCATGCTTTTGTAAATTCAACTCCCATGTGATGACTTTTTTTTTTTTATTTTTTTAAAGAGGCGGCTACCGACGAAACCTAACTCTTCAAAAACTTAAACGTTCGCCTATTGCATCAACTAATTAAGTAAATTTTCACTTTTTATTACAAGTTCGGTGTGTGCAAGTGTGTAGTGAGGGTACTTTGATTGTTGTTTGTTTCAGTTACCGGACAAAAAGTACAAGACGCATTTTTTTTAACAATTAGTTTCACAAATATTATACGCCTCTCAGTTTTTATCTCTTTTGCATACATTAAAAAGTCTCCTTACTGATTCCATTACAATAAAAAAATAATTAAGTCCGATACTAGTAGTAAAGTTATTCGAATTAAATTGATTTTCTCTTTGTATTTATTAGATTTTATTTCACCATCGATTTACGAAGAAAAAAAATTATCGCAACCTTTTTCAAAAGTCGGTATGGCATATATATAACCATGTGTACGAGATTGGGATACACATTTTAAGACAAATTCTTTAGAACAGAAACGATTTAAGACGATGTCAGTCCATTTTAATTTAGAAAGGTTTCAAAAACACATTAGAGTTAAGATTTAACAGCTTTTTGGGGCGTTCTTTAAAAAATAAGATTCAAAAATCAATCGGAAAGATCCACGTCTTTTTTTTTCTTTTGATAATGACAAATGTAGTTACGTATCAGTATGATAAAAAAAAAAGACTGGAACCAGAAACGCTTGCCAGCCTCAACCGGCGAAACGTTTACTATTAAAAGTGAAGTCAGCGGCAGTAATTGAAATTACCGTACACAGATTGTTTGAAGACACCTAGAGAATTCTTCAACACGTACCTCAGCCTGTGTCCGGATTTCATTGTCCAAACTGAGCAGATTTCCGAGCAACGTTTCGAACTGTGTTTGATCGTCAGCCATGATGGTGGTAGAGTCTGCAGTGGAAATGACCTCAAGTTCCCGCGTGTTTGTAATTTGTCATTTGCAGTTACTTCCCCTTGATGACAAGTGTGGCGCCACTTGTAATAATATATATATATATAATATATATATATATATATATATATATATATATATATATATATATATATATATATATATATATATATATATATATATATATATATATAAAATAAAAATGAAAATGTCCTCTAATTTATAAATCAATTTAGTTAAAAAAAAAGATAATCCTGACATTCCAAATTTTGACATTTAACAAAAACCCAAGTAGAGAGATTACTACTTACTACAATTGTAATCATGTAGTCAAATTTTGGTTTCATGACATAAATATTAATATATAATATATATTTTAAAGTCATATTTATAGTCTCTTATTTATTCCCATTGATGTGTATTGCTTTCAGTGGCAGCAAATATTAATTTTTAATTAGGTAGAGATTTTCCAAGCATAGCTTAGATGTGGCACAAGGCCGAAAGTATGGGACATCCAGTGAGGATCGAACTCACTTTTCAGTAGTAACTGATCTAGCAAAACAAGCTTGCTAACCATTACACCACGCCGACGTGTCCAATTTTTAATTAGGTAACCAATAATGCAGTTATAATTTTTAACATTTTACCTCTTAAATGAACTCCAAGTTGATCAAACCCCAAGTCCTTAGGGGGAAGTATACTTTTCATCTTCATTGGTTAAAAACTGGAGAATCACTTTCAATCAAACCGTACCTGTTAGCAATTTAAATTTGGATGGTTTCTTAGAGAAAAAAATCTGTGTGGATGGTATATTGACCTGCAAACAGATATTGAATGATGGAAAACAACAACAAACAAAATGAAGATTTGAGTAAAAATATATATATATATATATAACCAAGTTTGTTTTCATGAAAGAAAATACATTGACAAGATATCATTACAGTTCACTAGGCAAAAAAACATCTGCCTGTTCATGTTAGAGGATGAGAAGAGCATTGAAGTGTGTTGTCCTGAAAAGGACAGTTTATCACATATTGTTGCTGCTGCTGCTGTTTGTCTGTCTGTCTGGAGCTGCTGCTGATGGCTGGCTGGTGCTGATGCTGGGTGGAGCTGTGTGCTGGCTGAGGCTGGAACAGATACTACATTTTGATCCTAGTCATCATGGTCATGGATGGTTTATTTAACATGAAAATACATGTTTGTAACACAAGGCTGTAGGAGAGGTGGGAAAAGGCTGGTTTTCACTGACTATACTAAACCCAGCTAAGCTGATTCATGACCCATTCATTCTTACAACTGAATCATTCATCCCAAGAACCCATCCTTCTACACCCAATCCATCATTTACCACATATTTTCAGGGAACCAACTAAAAAAATCAACAACATGTGTTTTTTCTGTTTTTGAGACCTTATGTTCGATCAGTTACACAACAGTTGCTGGTCCTGGAAGGTAAAGTTTCTTCCAGTTGTTTTAAAAAAATGTGGGATTGCCGACAGGATATGACATTAGTGACATTCTACATTTCTTAATTAGTTTTTAATACAATTCACTATTATCTGTTTTATTAAAAATAATTTTTATATTAATTTTTACAAATTCCAAAACTTTTTTAGCTTTTTAAACAATTTTAATATTACCTTTGTTATTAAAATAACTTTTTTTTTATTAATTATTGCATAATTCTGATATTTTAATTATTTCTCTTATACAATTTTAATATTATTGTTTTTATTAAAAATAATTTTTGTATTTGTTATATGAGAGGGAAAATTTTGACTGCAAAGTCAGAAATGAATAGACCACACTCAAGCAAAAGGTTGTCATTGAGGACAAAGGATTGACCATTTGAGGCCTGTAATGTTTGCTCTAACTACTACTACAGATTATTTACACTATTTGCATTTGGATTATTGTCTTCATCTATGTTTGTTGCTATCACAACATTTTGGTTGTTGTGCCCTATGGCCTTCATAATGATTTTTTTTATATTTGTAGTCACAAATTTAAAATGCTTATAAGCTTCAAATTTGAGTATTTTAAAGTCAAATTCACTATATTCTTATAATTAATGTGCTAATTAATCAGTAAAAATGAAAAATCCTTTTTTTTAATCATGGAAAGCAGTAAAGTCACTAAAACACAAGGGGTTATTGGGTGTGGAAGAGTTAAAAACAGGAACATTACTAAGGAGCGAGAACAAAAGAAGAGTAATGAGGAGGACAGTAGATAGCAATTGATATTGAATTTAAATTTTTGCAGATTAACGTTGGCTGGAAAGCATGGAGTTGGAAGGAAACAATGAAATCCTCTTAGAGGATGAAATGTGTTACATAGAATTTTTTACACTTTGTTATTCAATTACCTAACATTGTTCTGATATATAGAAATTTGTAGGATTCAGCATACCTGGATTAAAAGGAGAATTTAATACGGGATACCCTGCCCACAAAATACAATGCAAATTTCAAGAAGAAACAACATGACAAGGAACGTTTGTAGAAAATAGAACATTGTATATTTATTATCTTGTGAATAGGGTAAAAAAGATTAATGCTTTAGTTAGTTTAAGCAAAATGTAATTTTGACAAAAATGTCTGTGTTCACTGTCTTTTAACAGAGTAGCAGAGTAATGTCTGTTTCTTTTGTTTTTGTATAGGTGTAAAGGAAAAAGGGGCGATCAATTTAAGTTGAAAAAAGAGAGTGTGGATGAGAAATAAAAGATAAGAGGAAAATGTACTTATCGGGTTGAATTGTTTTGGAGTCAGTTGTAAATTTGTTGTTGCTGTTGTTGTTGTTTTCCTTTCCTACTCCACTTTTGGCTCTTAGTGTCGGGTTGAGCCAGTGATGGAATTTACTGTCAGTCTTCTGTCCTCTATGATCTCTACGCCCTTCTGACTGGTGACCGACTTGAAACTCTCTATTTATTGTTGACTTTTTTTCACAGTGGCTCGTTATCTTTTTTTAGTTTATCAAATCGCCTCCTTTCATTGGTCAGAAAATTAATTTCACACCTTATTGCGAAATCTGTTTTTAGTCGTTTTGATCCAATTTTGCGAGTGTGCAAATCTACTTTGTGTTTTTTAGTCATTTGTTGGAATGATATAGGATTTGTATCCTATGAATTTATATATCATATTCTCCCACAAATAAGCACCCATGATTTCTACTGCTTTAAAGCGCCAGTGTTTGGTGTTTGAACTTAAGTAAAAGCTAGAATTTCAAAAAGGTATGTACAAGCTTCTTACTTGAAAAATTTGTGCAACATCATAAACTTCAAAGCTTAGTAAATGATACCTATTCACTCATTATTTATTTATTTTTTTGTTATGGTCCAGGTTAGGACCAAGGAAGAACAACACAAACACAAGAGTAGAAATAACAAGGTATATTACATGAAATAATAATACAAGATGTGGAAGGTGTTAGTATGACTGTCAGCCTGGTTTGGAGTGCACTACTATCGGCTCAACTTGATTCGACCCTCTCTCTTGAGAGGTGTAGTATACATAGTGTTAGGAAGAGTTCATTCTGTAGTTATAGGTAAGGACCCATGACATTTTTAAACCAAGTCTTCATCTTATTTTCTTAACAATACTTATTTGATTATATATCATGAGCAAAAAAGATGTGAACTAAAATCAAACAAGTACAGAAGTTTAAATATCTGGGAAGTGTCTTTAACAAATGATAGAAAATGGGGCACCAAAATCTGAAGTCATGTTGAAATTGCAAAAGATGTCTTCCAAAAACTAAAAAGATTTAAATTTTTGAAAAATTAATGACATAAATAAGGAAAGTCTAAAGGTATAAAAATGAATAGAAATAAAACAAAAGTAATATTCAACTGTAGCATTCTCAAAAAGATCATAAGAATAGAGGATGCAGAACTGAAAAATCCAGGAATATATCTACTTAGGAGATAATATTAAAGGAAGACTATGAAAATAAAATAAAAGTATGCATAATGATTGGTTGTAAAGCCTTTAATACAAATTGAAACATGATGAAAATCAGCTTGTTAATATACTTAAAACATAAAGTGCATAATAAATGTATAATGACAGCTGCAATGTATGATTGTGAAAAATGAAAATTAACAAAATCACTTGAAAGCAAAGCTGAATAGAAATATGTGTGGGAGAAGGAAAATGAAATAATAATAAAAAAGTAAAGAATTTCATTTTCCCATAATTGAGTCTGAGACATACTCAACAGATTCCAGCTACTATATTTAGCTATACCCCCATGAGGGTTGCATGTGGCACAAGGCCAGTTTAACGTGGGTTGTCCGAGCCGCATAAAGGGGTTCAGGAGCAGTCTACCTCCCCGAACGAGACTCTGCCCTTCGGCGGAGCCTCATCTGGGTTCCTCTCTGCCCAAAGGCAGAGAGTTTGACTATTTAGAACAGTCACAGCTAGTCTCTGTAGTCCGTTGACTTACATATACTTATAGGTAGTTACTACCTATAGTGTAGTCACTCATGGGTGTGACAGGTTATTCCATTACATCACATTATTAAGCTGTTTGTTTTTAGATTTATTATACAAGATAATGTTCCCCAGCTATGGATTACATAGCAGCATAGATTGGGCTCTCTAACCATGGTTGGCAACCACTCTAGGAGAAGGACAGGTCTGAATTCAAAACTCATCCACCTGAAGCTGTACAAATATGGTTAGGCATGAGGTGCATATACTATGTCTGTAAAACAAAAGATTAAGATGAACAGATTGACAGATTAATAGAAATATATATATAGATTTGTCTGTCATCTGGTTCACACTCCTCCCTAGTTTTTTGAACAGGAGTAGAAGTTTATATTCTATTTATTTGTTTTTGTTTTTCCAATAGGTCTAGATAGGTTCCCCTATTGCTTGGCTCACTTTCCTCACTGGTCTTTAGAACAAGATTAGGGGTTTGTCCATTGTTTCCAGTTTAGGATTGGGTTTCCCATTCCGTCTGAAGATTACTTCAACTCT